CTCTTCAACAGAGCCTATTCACGTGTGTTTTCCGTTTATTTACGTAGTATTTCCTTCGTCGATCCTCTTCAGAGTGAGATTCTTATAATTTCCGGTAATTGATGAGTGGCGTGTGAGTGCGACGGTGTGCGTCCCGAAATCATGAAGCCATTCACTTGGAATACTTCCAACACCGCTTCCTCGGGAGGGTTCGAGAGGCTAAGGGATTTCGTTGTCGTTTCGCTCGATGTCACGCGACCCTTCGCCTCATCCCAAATTCTTCCATTAGGAAGTGCTTGTGAGCCAGGGTTTCCCCGGGGTTCACTTCCGAGAGTGGACCTGATAGAGTCACACTTTATTTTCCACTATATTCATCCTCTAGTTCATTTCTTCTCTTTGTTTCAATGTTTAATTGACAGTTGCGCCTTGAGTCGTCCCATTTGATATCTTTTGCTCTGCACCATCATTTCGGGCAGTCCATCCATTCTTTCATTTTGGGGTCTCTTCCCAGGGAGTAATCGAAGAACGTCGATGATTCGCGACCTTGATACACACATACGTGGTACGTCGTGTATAAATTGCTCCTCAAAAATAGTCGTTCAAATTGAGGTGTCAATTGCAGGGAATGGCAAATATGTTCGTATTTCGCTTCAAATTCTTTATTTCCCATGCTATTTTAAAAATTTACCTTGCAATGTTCGTAGTTCATTATCGGCCGGGCGAAATTTCACAGGAATACACTGCAGAATGATAAGCAGAGCTGCTCAAAGTAGCCACTTTCAAAATCATCTCATGTGTCCTCTCTAGACCATCCCGAACTTTTCAACCATTTTGTATCCTACAAATATCCCAATTAGAACTGTCTCATGGTAAATGTGTGCACTCGAGACCGGCTGATAATTTTGGATTGGGGAAGAATTTAGTGACAACTGGAGCTTGTCACAGAGCCACTGAAGTGAACGACGAATAATCAGATCAAGTCATTTCAGTCAATATTTCCACATCTTAAGATAATAGGCGTATTCAATTGGTGATCGAGAATAATAAACCATGCATGAATTCCATTCGAACAGTTGGGAGCAGCTGTTTCATTAACATGATTTTGCCATTGGGTCGAAACTCCATATTGGCTTTTGGAATTTTATCCGGTGAGTACCTGAAACATATATCGGTCAATTATGGTCATCGCTGATATGCGGATGAGTTTCTTCTTTTAAATCCTGGTTAAATCGAAGCGTAGAAAATTCGCAGAATTCGACGTTACTCAAGATTGATTCTATTTCCTTCGTGGAGGCCATCGCCCCCCTCTCCCCTACGTTACCATGTCTTTGGTGAGACTTTGGGCAAATTTTAAGAAGTATTGGACCCAGCTGGGTTCAACGCTTAAGCTCGTGTTAGCCTACCTAGCCCTTGGGTTAGGCTTAGGTGAGAGCTAGATTTCCCTTATCATTGCTTCATAGTGAATATACTAGTGAAAGGTGGGAGCAGCATTCTACATATACTTCCTCTTTGGTAAGACCTGCAGGTCATCCACCTGACTCAACTGAAGCATACGTCTGCACGTTCCAGTCTTCGCTCAAGAGTGTTAGCTAGTACAGTAGGTAACTGAGTTCCTCGTGCTCACCTCCATTCTACATACAGTACACAAGTACTACTTCAGCAAATAAAAACAAAGGAATACGCTCAGCGAAACTGACGAATTCCTCTCGCGACTTTAGCCCGTTAGGAAACGCTGCAACAATGTTAACATTCTCACTACTTTCGCATTCGTGACCTTTTTCGATCACCTGTCGCGATCATTTTGTTTCATCTATTGCATATTTCAAGACTTTTGTTTTGCAAGCGTGTTGGGTCCATCTGCCAGACGGCAGATGGACCCGACGATGTGAAACACGATAGAAAGAAACAGTCCGAATCTCCGTGGCAACGAATGCGTGCGACGTCTCCATTATGAATGATCGTGATCACCGATCAACAAATAATTCAAGGTTTTCATTGAAGTGCTGCGAAAAATGGATTTGTACGGACCTCATGAGGCTTTTCGTCCTCCGCCCTCTGTTTCACGACTTCTTTTCAGAGCTGCAGCATTTAGGACCTCTCGTCTAAGAAAAATCAACAGAGGGGATGCATTGGTAAAACGGTTCTCAAACGCTTTCGAGAAAGATAGTCGTGGAATATACAGGAGGTACGTTCCCAATTATGATGTTTCTACAAATTCCTCGAAATTCCCGGGTTCAATTCCCGGCCGTCCCCTGGCTTTCTTTCGTCCTCTCTCCTCCATCCAATCTTCCCTCACGGCCATTCTCATGACATTTCCATCGATAAAGGGGCCGGAATCTCGATAAATATGAGGGCTAGAGGATAAATATGAGATAAATATGAAAATCTGACCCCCGGCGAAGAAAGTCGTCCTTCCTTCCGCTGGATGAAAAGAGGACGAAAGGGGACTCCAAGGGTGATAAGGGGAACGCGTAAAGAAAGGGAAAGAGCAGCTGCTGGCTAGAGCGTTCAGAGGGGCAGAGAGTTTTCTAGCCCGCCGAATCGACTCGGGATTTCTAGCAGTAGAATTCGTGGAAGTCTTCCACGGCTCGGCGAGTACAAATTCAATCTCGAAGAAAAGCTTTCCTATCGACTGTGCATGCTTTTCTTCCTCCAAGGTGCCTTGCGTTCTTCTCTTTAACAGAGCCTATACGCTCCCGAGTTCATTTCCGTCATCGATGATTTTCCGAGCGATCGATCGGAGCCGATTCCATGGCGTCTGACGGATGAAAGCGACGGGGCGTCTCCCGGCACCTTCCGAGCCGCCGGAGACTCTTCCTCGAAACGGATCGAGACTTCTCCGAGCTTCGGCATGTTGCCGATCCAAACAACCACGCAAAGCGTCCCAGTCGCCTCGGCCCGAAATCTTTCGAAAGGATTCCATCGGATATGACATATGGACTGCGTAAGTCCCTAGGATGAGTCGAGAAGGAATGCCGGCCGTTCTTTCCTCTCACGATGGACAATCCCGTGTCTCCAATCGTATCTCCGCTCGGTTGCTCGTTCCATTCTTTTTCTCATCCCATGTGTTCTCTCCTCGAAACACATTTCCCGTGCAGAAGGAAAAGAGCTCGTCCCTGCATGCCATGGCCCTGGCATCTTCCCAGAGAACATTCTGATATGGCGCATGATCGGCGACGATGATGGCCCAGCTGGTATGTTCGGTAGCGGCTCCTCCGAGTGCGTTCCTCAATGGTCAGTTACCGACGGAACTTCTTTTCTTTGTTTTATTTTCACTTTAAGACATACGAAATTGCATTACATGCCAGTTTTTCCAAAGGAACTGCGGCTCTAAAATCTTCTATGTTTATCATCAGATCATCTCTAACAATGGATCAAGTCCCACTATGGAATTCTAGATGAAGCACTATTTATGTGTGGCAATTAATTCATGATTGAAAAATGACTCAGTGTTCCGTCTTCGATTCGAGAGCTGGGACGGGTCGCATAAGAACCAACTTTTTGGCATTATATGGAACACTGGATTTACTCATTAATGTATTCAATGCATATTAATGTATTCAAGGATTCCCTGTCTGCTTATTTGTTTTACTTGCCAATGTCTGACCAACAAGACACTGAAAATTTCTTCCTCACGCGTATAATTCTGAAGCGTCTTCATTTCTCTCGTCGCATGCTTACTGTTCACTGTGCCAACTCTGGTTGGGGGAAACTGGGATCTTCCGGATATGCAAAATCGAATTACATTCGCTACATGGAAATATATTTATAATAATCTGATGCTTAATTTTCAGTACGAGCAGCATGCGTTATTCGATGAGGAGTGATGATTCGATGTGGAGCCCTGGACTTTAACTTTGGGGCAGAAATCTTGAAATTTCAAAGTCTTCGTCTCGAGTTTTTTTCTGATTGAACTGCTCGGCAAAGAGATGCGTACTATGGGAGTTATTTCTCTTTATCTATCGCTGGTTCGGAGCCTGATTCCTGCCTGATTCCGGTTCAACTATGGAAATATTTATCATGGTTCCACGAATAAAAAATCACCCTGTACAGAACATATACTTAGGGCTGCTTATCATGTGTATAAATATGTATACTTACGTAGAGTTTCTGAGAAAGCCCCTCAAATCCAAGGCCATGAATGATGCGCCAAGATATAGCGCATACAAAAAAAATTGAGGACTATAGTAGAAAGTTGTACTTCGTCGTATGTCTTGCTGAGTGACTGTCACCATAGGTACCATATTAATTCCAGAAAATTGGCTGATGAATCCGTCAAAACAGCAAATGTGATCCTAGTCTCCTGCTTTTCAATACATTTTTGCCAATGAATTAAGCTTGTTGTATTGTGATTTTCCATGCCGCGATGTACTTGGATGTGCTTTAGTAACTCATCTGTTAAATAATATTATATATATTGTCTATTCACAGGCAGCACACCACGTTCCGCCCACATTTGCTGTAAGTGGATAAACATGGGCCAACGTCGCTGCGGTATGTCCATGTAGGTCCCACATCGGCGCTAGTACTCCACCCAACACCTGTCCCATCCACGCGTACCATTCAAACGATATGATGCAAAACCGATCTGGGCGAAAGGGATTCTAGGCCCAAGATTGCTCATTTTCTCTTTTGCACCAGCTAACCGACCCTACGAATCTAAACCCTACCCCTAAGAAGAAGCTGTTCATGCACAGGAAAATCCAACCTTGTCTTGAAACCTTTCGCATTTTCTTCAATGCAGGAATGCCATCGGACAGGAAGGCAAAGCAACAGTTTCTAACCATTGAACTTCAATGACGATAAAATAAGAAAGGTAAACAATCTGCTTCAAGCGACTATAAAAATTTATTTATACATAATTCTTTATACATAATAATTCTTAATATATACATGAAGGCATGGATGATATAAACCATTTACATATTAGTAATACATATATACATGACTGATAAAAATAGGCGCACAAGCCATCATATATATGTGCGCTACAAAACTATATACATGGACAGTGGATAGCTTCAGCAGGAGCCTTGAACACGAGGGGCATCGCTCGTGTCGAGGTGTGGGGTGCTGCGAGGTGGAGGATCATCCACCCCATTGGAACACATCTGAGGCGCTGTGGGTGGGAGACGGAGGAAATTTGGTGGTGGTGGAGCGTTTCTTCCTGCCCCGCTGCTTACATCAAGAGCCTATTGTCAAAGAGAAAAAAAAACATCATTGCACTTCCTCGCACTGGAAACTTTAGATTCGGAAAAGGTCCCTCTTCCGTTCAGGAATTCATTCGCCGTTTAGAAACATGAGTAGAGAAACCTATAATTTCACAATTGCTCCAAAAATTCTTTCTCTAACAAGTTCACTGGATAATTTGAATTTTGTAATATTCAACTACCAAAATAGTATTAAAAAATGACTATTTCATTTTGCTTTTGGTTTTAATTTGGTTTTAATTCATTTAATGCCACTTCAATTTTTTAAAATAAAGTACTCATTCGCGTACTCCTTCGCTAGCCGTACTTCTTACCTCCTGGCTCCTCTTATTGGCTGCTTCCTTAAGCCGATCCTCGGCTTGCTCTTGGTGAACCTCTGCTTCCCAAAGCAAAGTCTCCAAGTAAAAAACCTCTCCTTTGGCTCTCTCCAGCTCGGCTTCCAGCACTCGCAGGTCCTGAGGGGATGATACCATTTCATCATCACAGGCGACCCATAACCAGGTTCTTGAAGAGAAAATCGAACCAAGGACGAACTTGAAGCTTTTGTTGAAGTGCTTCAACCTGGAGTTCAGCAGCCCTCTTTTCAGCATTGGCTTCGAGGAGGTGGAATCGCAGCGAAGCACTTTCTTCTTTCAATGCCTCCTTTTCCTCCGTCGAGTTTGGGAGGTCGAGCTGAACGGATCAATAATCATTCAGTCACGAAATGTTTTCGACAAATCAATCTAAATCATTCGATCGCGAGAAGAAGTAATATCATTGCTCTGACACTAAGTCTCGAAACTTGGTAATTTAGAAGCAGAAGATTTCGTCCTTGCATTAGGGGGGGATGGCAAAAAATACAAAAAAAGAAACCAGGCAATGAAGCTGAGCGAAAGTAACAAACATCGGAAGATTGCATTCATTCCGATAATTACTTATTTCCGCTAATTCAGTTGACCTTTCATCGGGCCAACCGAAGCTTATGGATAGATATAGGTTCAAGACACGAAAATAAGAAACCTAGAAGCTGACTTTCTGGGAAGTAAGGAAAAGAATATATATATATAAATAATATTAAGTCACACCAATTACGCATTTCGGGGATTTCAAAGTGATATATTGCTTCCAAATTTTCGGATAGGAAGAAAAGGAGGCAAAAGGAGAACTTCAGTGGCTCCACTCCGAAAATTTTCCCAGCAAAATCTAACTGAAGGCTCCTCGTATCGCTAAAATCTCGTGAGTTTACGCATCTTGAAAGGACTTACGCTGAAACCAAGAATTTCGGAGGACTCCGGGGGAGGTACCGGGAGCTGTAGGAGACCCTCCTCCGTGTAAAGCCAAACCCCTTCTACGAAGGGGACGGCATCCAGGTCGTCGTGGATGTAGAGCCCCTTCATGATGTTGCAAGGAGGAATCGCTTGAGGGAGGTCAGGCCCAGGAGATGCACTTGATTCCTGTATGCACAGGTCCCTGTGACAAGTCGTCATGGTAAATGTGTCAAATATATATTATTTCATATATATGCGACAGCATTTTTTGGTCTAAAATCTTTTTAAAATTTCTTGAATTATTCTTTAGATGCTGTTTTTTTTTGTGAATTCTCTGATAATGTACCAAAGAAACTGATATGCTTAAACGTTCCCGCTTAATAAGTATGATATCCAACGAAAAGGCCTGAACCTATAGGGACATCCTGATGATTTCTTTAAAGAGGGTATTACTCTTAACTATTAAATAATAGGATGATGTGAGTCCGGGGAAGAAATTCACGAAAGCAGACTGAAGTGAACATTTTCCTTTCGAAAAAGTGAGGTGAAATTGTATGTGGGATAATTGTAGAACTTCTTCAATTCGGAATAAGCTCTGATGATTATTTACTGAGATTTTCTCATCCAGAGTCAAGAAGAAACTCGTCGACAGGCCAAATGTAAGGCGGAAGTGAGGTCGGTCTCGTTACCTGTGGGGTCTAAAGACGGAAGGTCTGGGCGCCGAAGAGAACGATCGAGTGTCGGGGTGCACGTGAAACGCCCCTGCCCGCAGCCGTGGGAATCCCACAGTCAGGGGATGGGATTCCTCCTGAACGCTTCTCTGAATGAGGTGAAACAATTCCATTACCTCTAGTATTTATTTCCTCCGCTGATGCCGTGTTCCGAAGGATCTAGAAATCTTGCGTGGTCACGCCCCAAGAGTCAGATTATGAGACTTTTGGGAGTAACAATTGCTTATTGATGCACAAAGTTCTCTGTGCTCCGAAGAGCGATCATTACCTAGATCGAACCAGTTACTCGTGACTCTTTTCCACAGCAATCAAGGCACGTGTTCAGAACTGGACATTCTCTTGCCTTTGAGTAAAAAAATGTTTCCTTACTTCCATAAACGATGATCGACCATCTCCAGTACCGCTGCCATCATCTGCGGACTCATTAGCCTTCTCTGCAATCTGGACTTCAGGGTATCCGTCCCCATCGGCATCTTCGAACACGTGTTCATCCTCAGGGCTTTGCTCTTCGGAGGAACAGCCGTTTTCGGCCCTTTCATGATGATTAACCTCGGAGTGATCCCCTCGATCGTCGGGACAGTGGCCTTCGACCTCGACGTGCTTCCAGATAATTTCAGGAATTTCACCAATGCCTACACGTGGAAACCAAATTTAATCGTAACAGTTCAAATCATATTAACACTGGAACACTTGGTAGCAGCGTAACAAATTAATAAAAATTCAAATAATTTGGCCGGCTTTCAGCGAAATTGAATGGAAGATATTTTTGTAGAGTATGGCTTGGAATTTGGGGTTTCTGCTGGACTGCTACAGAGCTTTGAACTAAAAGGGATTTTTTAAAATTGCTGTTTCAACTTACTTCGTTTTATATATGTGACGTTTTTGTATTATAGCATTTCATTTGTTGATTTGTTTCTTTGTTTTCTTGTTTACAAGCGAGTGCAACTGAATCCTACAAGAGGGGAAGAGATCCGTCTTACTCAAGGATCCGGACCTCATGCCCAAAAAATTTTGAGCGGCCAGATCCTCAGGGACATGTGGAAAGCAGCACCGCTGGAAGGGGGAGACGAAACTATTGAGGACGGAGCCCAGACGGCGACGAGCTTCCAGCGCGTGTGGGTGGAACCGCTTTGGCTCGTGCAGCCTGGTGTAGGTGGGAAACCCCAGGCCTGTACGAAAAAAAGGAAAGATGTTTAATAAGCCAAACAGATCACTGACGGACGGAAAGGTTTTTTATGGCCATACTCCTGATCATAAGATAAGGATTGTTTAGTGTCAACAGTATAATATTGGAACTTGCGGCATGGTGGAGCGATAAACCGCTCGTGATCGGTTAATATTAATATCGGTAAATGTAGACAACTGGGGGGAAAGACTTACTACTTGGAATCGATTTCTCTCTATTGTAGCACGGGCAAATCCAGGAAAGGATTCTTTTTAGCATCATCTTCGAGACTTTAATCGACGCTTGCTTATTCTGCGATTGAGACTTCCAAGGATTCGCAGGTGGACTGAGACACTAGAAATCCTGAACAGAATGCGAAGATCGCTAGGCAACCGATACCTCTTCGGGCGATTCTTGTGAGTCGTTCGGGGGTTCAGAAAGGAAATGCAATTATTTTCTGACATTCGATTCCTCGGAGAGAAATAGGAAATAATGATGGATAAGGACCGTGAATTCATTCGTATGCAAATATACCATCAAGAGGAAACCTGGATAATGAATTGAGCATACCCTCCTTTCCCCAAGGTGCCGCCAGTTCTCTTCCACGGGCCTATTCAATTGTGTTTTCCGCTTTTTTCCGTAGTATTTCCGTCATCGTTCCTCTGCAGAGTGAGATTGTTATCATTTCCGGTAATTCATGACTGATGTGTGAGTGCGACGATGTGCGTCCCGAAATCATGAAGCCATTCCCTTGGAATACTTCCAACACCGCTTCCTCGGGAAGGTTCGAGAGGCTAAGGGATTTCTTTGTCGTTTCGCTCGATGTCACGCGACCCTTCGCCTCATCCCAAACTCTTCCATTAGGAAGCGCTTGTGAGCCAGGGATGCCCCTGGGGTCACTTCCGAGAGTGGACCTGATAGAGTCACAATCTTTATTTTCTACTATATCCATCCTCTAGTCCACTTTATCTCTTTGTGTCAATGTTTAATTGACAGTTGCGCTTTGAGTCGTTCCATTTGATATCTTTTGCTCTGCACCATCATCCCAGACAGTCCTTCCATTCTTTCTTTGTGGGGTCTCTTCCGAGGGAGTAATCGAAGAACGTCGATGATTCGCGACCTTGATACACACATGCGTGGTATGTCGTGTATAAGTAGCTCCTCAAAAATAGTCGTTCAAATTGAGGTGTCATTTGCAGGGAATGGCAAATATGTTTTTGTCCATATTTCACTTCAAATCCTTTATTTCCCATGCTTTTTTTTCCCTGCAATGTTCGTAGTTCATTATTGGCCGGCCAAAATTTCAAAGGAATCGACTGCAGATTGATAATCAGAGCTGCTCCAAGTAGTCACTTACAAAATCATCTCATGTGTCCTCTACAGGCCATCCCGAACTTTTCAATCATTGTATTTTGTATCCTACTATATTCCAATTAGAACAGTCTCTTGGTAAATTTGTGCTCTCGAGCCCGGTTGAGCTTGTCACAGAGCCACTGAAGTGATCGACGAATAATCAGATCAAGTCATTTCAGTCAATATTTCCACATCATAAGATAATAGGCGTATTCAATTGGCGAGTGAGAATAATAAACCATGCATGAATTCCATTCGAACAGTTGGGAGCAGCTGTTGCATTACCATGATTTTGCCATTGGGTCGAAACTCCATATTGGCTTTAGCGATTTTATCCCGTGAGTACCTGAAACATCTATCGGTCAATTATGGTCATCGCTGATATGCGGATGAGTTTCTTATGAATCCAAGTTACATCGAGGCGTAGAAAATTCGCAGAATTCGACGTTACTCAAGATTGATTCTATTTCCTTTGTGATGGCCATCGCTGGGGAGAGGGGATGCAATGGTACAGAAACCACTCTGAAACCCGTTTAAAATTCTTCATAACCTGGGTCGACCCAAGTTGCGAATTCGAGCACAATCGGATGGATCGGGAACCCAATCCGAATCCACTGAGCTAGATTTCCCTTGGCATTGCTTCATAGTGAATATACTAGTGAAAGGTGGGAGCAGCATTCTACATATACTTCCTCTTGGGTAAGACCTGCAGGAGTAGGTGGACTGAGTTGACTTCGTATGCAGACGTGCAAGGTCAGAAGCGAGTTCTCACAATCGATCATGTCATCCATTGACTCAAGGAGCACGAGTGGAGGTAAGATGTATGTCATGTGTTCATGAGCTTCAGCAGATAAAAAGAAAGGAATACGCTCAGCGAAACTGACGAATTCCTCTCGCGACTTTAGCCTGTAAGGAATCGCTGCAACAATGTTAACATTCTCACTGCTTTCGCATTCGTGACCTTTTTCGATCACCTGTCGTGTCATTTTGTTTCATTTATTGCATATTTCAAGGCTTTTGTTTTGCAAGCGTGTTCGGTCCATTTCCCAGACGGCAGATGGACCCGACGATGTGAAACACGATAGAAAGAAACAGTCCGAATTTCCATGGCAACGAATGCATGCGACGTCTCCATCATGATTGATTTATTCACCGATCAACAAATAATTCAAGGTTTTCAGTGAAGTGGTGGAAAAATGGATTTGTACGGACGTCATGAGGCTTTTTGTCCTCCGCCCTCTGTTTCACGACTTCTTTTCAGAGCTGCAGCATTTAGGACCTCTCGTCTCAGAAAAATCAACAGAGGGGATGCATTGGTAAAACGGTTCTCATACGCTTTCGAGAAAGACAGTCGTGGGATATACAGGAGGTACGTTCCCAATTGTGATGTTTCTACAAATTCCCCGAAATTTGGCCTCCAAAGCACCTTAAATTAATTTATTTCCTCGAGATGACTCATCCTTTACATTATTCCATTAATGAAAACAGGGCGGAACTTGCATATGAAAATAATTCAAGGTCATTGTAATGAGGAACTGTTTTGGAATAGTTGCGTTCCCTCCCGCTGTGACGTCAAGGTTTAGTTGCTCAGATGATCATTTTCGAAACTTCATGAGAAACCGTTTCCACTTCCTTCTAGATAGATGTGGAAAATATCATTTAAAAATTCGCCTCTTTTATTGTAAGCATGTATGCTTGCAAAGTAGAGCATGCTAACAATGAGATGAATTCGTACTTCAGCAATCACGCCAATGAAACGAACTCATTATTGATAGGTTGGCATCTATTCCCCATTCCCTTTAAAATACGAAAGAAACTTCCTTCCCTCAACCTTTCCTCCATCTCCTCAAAGGAGCACTTCAAACGCAAGGACGTTCAATGAGGGAAGAGGTCCTGCGCCGAGGATGGCGAAAGGGGGAGAGACGGCATCGAAGGCAATCGAAGTGGGTCGGAATGACTTCGTCGACGTTGCGAAAGGAAAATAATATCGGGTACCATTTCATGTCAATGCGATGAAAAGTTCCAGCTTCTTTGATCTTCGACAGGGATAGATCAAAGATTCCAGCAAAAGGGAAAGTCTCTGACAAAAGACCAAATATCGTTGTTGCTTTATAAATAAGGTCATGATCTTCCTAATCGAACAGACTACGGGATCACGGGTGCCGGTTTGTCTTTATTTAAGTCTTTATTTATAATAATAATTATTAATTGGTCGAAGACCGGAAAGAGATTGCATTTTGTTCAATTAGGTAACAAAATGAGTGTTTTCTTAACTGAAAGGAGGCCCATTACTGGACTGGGCATGCTCAACTTGTTTATACTTAAATTCATCTGCTTCGCAATTCCTAATCCTCACAGTCTCGCAACCTAGATCACTATGCCAAATGTGAGGAGTTCCCACTTTCACAGTTTCTTCGAAATTCTTTCTGGAAATAAATTTGTGCCTAGGGTGTGTTGATTGTTTTTTATTGCATTTCTTTTCTGTCAAGGCTGATTTTGAGTTCCCAGTTATGGTTCAATTTTGATGATGGAATTCATTATGGGAAGATGGAATCAAAATTATTGCAGGAGAAGGTAGAAAGTAGGTTGGAAGAAAATGATTCAATTTGAAAGCAATCTGAATGTACAGGGTGTCCCTTAAGTCCCTTTATCCCCAGGTAAATTGCAATAAGGTTTTGTGAAGATGGCATAAGATATGAGTGATCAAAGCCCAATTACATTGTCGATGGAGTGTTGTTAAATGTCACAATACATGTAAAAATACTTGCTAACTGATACTAAAGGGATATACCTGTTGCATACGAGATTCTCAATTGGCATGGTTACGAGTATTAGAGTTGTTAGAGTTGGCGTAGCAATACTCATAAGAATTGGCCTATTAACAGTCGTGCCAAAACAAAATATACATCAATGTTCATAACGATGGCTATGACAATAGAGTTACAGTGATTCCTGAGACACCTCATTCATTTCTATTGTGCCTTTGTATTTTCGCTTAGTGAGTCCTTCCAGTTTTAGGGAAAGTTCCCTTTAAGAGTAAAATGAATGGTTTCTATAAATGAAGCAGACAAGATTCCGATGCCTTTATTAACCCCAAAAGGTATGTTATTTCTACACGTGAGAAGCAGAACTGAAAATATTTGAATATGGCAAAACAATAGAACCAGGGAAGCATGGGTCCGCCTCCTGTGAAACGGTCATGATTTTACAAATGAAAACGTGTATTTCCACATTGCCGTGAAACAAATCAAAGGAGCACACAATGAGAAGAATTAAAAATAAATTAACGGTTATGAATATCCCATTACTGATGAATGCAATGAATACATTGCAATACTTTTCTTCTATCATACACTTTTTCCTCTTTTTTTCCAAATCCCTCAAATCTCTTCATCACCTGTTGCAGGTCTTCACACTGGTGTCACTGATACTCTTCCCTTTTCAATGCGACTTTACTTTTTTTGCAGTTCCTGGTTCTGTTCTTGCAGTTCGAGCCATCTGGTTGAAGAAAGAAAATAAGCGTAGAACAAAAAAGAAACATGATTCATCGAAGACACGAAAGCAAAGCGTGTGCACGCATTGATGAAATATTCAAGGAGTGGAATAAATAATTGGATTTAATAACGCCAAATTTCTGGCAGCCGAGAAGTCAGAACATGCTATAAGTTATTTACATTCTTAGCAAAATAGTTAAGCTTTTATCCCCTAAAGGGTGTTTCAACTGCAACTCATTTTTTAAATATATTTTGTGGGTTACATATTTAGCATTTCTGATAGGTTACATTTAAAATCCTTTTAAAAATAAATCGACCTAGATTGATATATAACTTTTATAGTATGCATGTAATCATGAAGATGAAAGACCCTTCTCTTGCTCCATTGTAAATCTTTGACGTTCCTCCCAATTGAATCACCAAGTCATCAAGACGAATGAATTGGGAAATAATCTCAGGTTACTCGTTTTCTTTATTGAATTCAGAGGTTCCACGAGAATGAAGTTTGCTCGTTTATGTGCAGGGTTACTGTTAGTGAAGACAAGCTTCTTATGGTCTAAGATACCGGAATCTGTCTCGAATGTGGGAATAACGAATGAGGAAGTGTCCGTGTTTATAACTACCTATAATGAGGCACGGCGAAACACAGAATGAAGTGACGTAACACACCTGTGAGGGAGATTCCCTGGGAAAAGGGAAGGACTATTCCATGTACTGTGGGAAATGGCAGCACCATAACTCCCCTTAGTAGTCTAAAAGGCAACTTTGCATCACGTGAATAACCCTTGCAAATGGTGTTTCACTCTCTTCTACACTTATCTTCTGTTTAACCCTGAAAAGGCACAAACCTGAACACTGGTCGGTAGGCTGGTAGGCTGCAAACAATCTGTGGTGACATGTATCAACTGCCCAGACGGTTTACAATGTGGTGCAATCTTTCAAGGAAGGACGAACGACATGCGTGCTAAGGGATGCTGTTCGGGGCATGAAAACGCCTGCCCAAGTATAAGCAGATAGGCCACGGAGGCGATTGCCAAATTCCGGTTCCAGACAGTCCAACATCCCCCATACTCCCCTGACTTCATCCCCAACAATTATTAGTTGTTCGGCAGCATTAAGGAGTCTTTGCGGAGACAGCACTTTGCCACCACAGAGGCTCTACTGGAAGGGGTCCGGCGTGGGTAAAGAAAACACCGAAACAGGGGCTCTCACAAATGGCCTCCAGAAGCTCTCACGCAGTTGGAAAAGGTGCATTCACATTGGGGGGGGGAGGACGTCGAGAAGCTGTATCAGCAAAATTCGTGTTCTATCATGCGTATGCATGTGAGGGCGAAATTAAAGACTTTTCGACCTCCCCGCGTAGGTACGGATGAGAACCCAACAAACAGAAATTTGCATGCCTCACATTTCTAAGTTTCAACTTTGCTGTGTAGCTGGCTACCCGCCATTAGCGACTCGAAGAGAGCGTCTCAATTCTGCCTACGGTTTTACATGTACCCTGTACAGGTACTTCAGAGAGCATCTTATGCTCGAGAGCTCGCTATCAGGGTTGCGTATAGGCCTCTTCCATCGGTGAACGTCTAGTCCCAGTCTCTCTAATCGCCTCCCAACCAGAAAACCGCTCGGGTTAAAACTTAGTACAACGTTCGAGGTATTTACCAGTGCGATCATGCCAAGGTTGACCCCGGTCGTCGATGACGACGCGCCTTTCCCCATCTGTCCGACGAGCGGCCTTCGACACAGCCATACGGTCATGCCCATGTCGTCCAGATCCGTGTCGTCCGGATCCATGTCGTCCAGGTTCGTCTCGTCCGATGCCTCGAAAAAGTTTGTCTTCCCGATTCTCCTTGAGTTTTCGTTGTCTCTTGAAACGGCCCCATCTGCAATGAAAGACAAGAAAAATGGAAGACTTCGAGGATATAAATTTTAGTATGCGAACCAGAATTGAGGACATTCACCATATCATGATTCTGGGCGAGAAACAATAGATTCCTTACCAGAAGAAACGAGAAAACATGTTAAAGGAATTGCTATTTGCTTTCAAATGGTGGTCCAAGTGCAGCGTATGCTTTCATTAGTATCAGTTGAGGGGATAATACTGAATAATGAAGAGAAGGAAAGAGAATTTCCTCCAGGTAATCCGAGCCATTTGAACATCTGCCGAGATCGTCATTCCGGTTGCCATGCCTCCTTGGTAAAGTCCATGATGAAGCTTATTTCGAGAGCACTTGTTGAAGCGATCCCAATCATGAAAAAATGTCTCCCGGGATCGACCAGCAGATTTTCCATGAAGCGAATGGACCCAGCCAGCTAGAGAATCCGAACGGCTGATGATGATTCTTGACCGTCGGGAGAGTTCCCAGTGCCTTTTTCCGATCAAGGAATTTCAACATCTTCAAAAGTAATAACTAATTTTCTCCATTAAATGGAGAAGAACCTCATTGTTAAAACCCAACAGGGTACTTATTTTTCAGTCCCATTTTCCTGATTTTTTTTCATCCAACGAAACAGAGAAATAAAATTTAAACTTCCCTCTGAAGTACCTGTTTGATGACTGAGCAAAGGAAAACTCCTACTTTTCAAATGTATTCACTTTGCGTAGATTATAGGAAGAAACTTTTTCAAAATGTATCATCTGTCCCTTACAAAAAGGGACAAATGAAAAGATTTCAAGTTAGGCACACTAGAAATCATAGAAGTAATGATTTTGATTAAAAAAAATAAAGACTTTCGTCCCCGTATGTCAAGGATTTCAATGGGGACGTACTTTAATTACGTGTTTGCCATTTCGCAAAGAATACATCGATCAATCACTATCCAAGGTTATGGAGCGCCAAAGGCGCGACCAGTACAGTATATCGACGTAAAGTTAACGTCCAAACAGTCTTTTTCAACCAAATTACACCATTGTTTGGTTTCTAAACGTGAATGGGCAGTGTGCGCATTTTCCTTTCGAATGGTATTGATCCCCCCAAAAATGCACGAAATGAATTTAAAGCCATGAGTGAAGGGTGGATTTTGAGGCTAAGATGGTCCAAATTTGTTTCACATACCCCTTATTATCATTGTCTCGACAAATACGACGTGACCAGTGAATTCAAGTTCAAATCCAGGGCGAAATTCAATGAACAACATCCGGTCTGGCATGTACACGATGAGTCTGGTCCCATTTCAGTTCCCTTCGCATCAAAAGGTAGAATGGCTACAGAAATGAACCTAAACCAATGTGCTTAAGAAGTCACTTCTTCCTTTCGTTGAAAAGTACAAGGACCTTCATCATCGAGGACCAACACCTTCTGGAGGGACGTGGCTCCTTGTCGTTACGAGAAAATGACTCCGGTCCGGCTAGAGCCCCAGGGTATCGAGCGTGTGACCAGAGAAAAACGAAAACTGCCCTCGGGTCCGACCCACCGAGCAACGCCAGGGCCGTTCGCAACGCCGGATCCCCGGAAGGAAGAGCGAAGGCCAAGAACCTCGACTCCTTCGATTGAACCTGGTTCGTCCCGAGAGGAGCCGGAGGAGGAGGGCGCTGACCTCGTCGGGTCCAGGCAACCTCGCCGATCGTGAAGAGTGGAAGTGGTGTTATCATCAATCGAAATTTCAACCTTGAGTCTTCTTTAGTTACTGAGTAAACCGACGAAAACAAAAGCGAACCTAACTTCTTGGCCGCCCCTCGAGCGACAGTAAATAAATCACTTCTCAACTAGATGGAATTTTCGCATGAATAATTGGACAATTTGAGCGACTGAGAAGGGGAGAAATACAATGCACGGTTATGAAAGTCACGATTAAAAGGAGTGGGTTTATACTACTACTGTTCTTACTCTATTTGCTCTGGGTAGAGCGCGGCTTTGCTTTGGCACGCTTTAAACGTTAACGTCTAGATGCTCACGCCCGAGCATGAAGGGAGAGCGTCAATTCCCGTAGAACCCGAAGGAACTGATATCAGTCATTGCTGACTGGAAATCGATGAAGACCTTCAAATGTTCCTCGGGAAGATTAATGGCCTTTAGGTTTGAGGAACGCCACCCAGCTTGCGTAAATCTTCCTCGACGCTGGAAGAACAACTAACTGAATTTTTCCTTGTGGAAACAGGAAATGGAAATCAGAAAGGGAAATAATCGGATAGATTATGTACATTCTTGCCGTTTTTGAGTGAAATAGCTAGTGTCAATGAATCGACACGAACTTCTTGCATCCGATATCTTCTCTCAATCCACTTACTATTTTTTATTTTATTTTTATTTTTTAACTTCATCGATAGCAAGCGTTTGCATGAGAACACAACCCAGAGTTGTGCTTTATTTGCCATCAGAATTGCTCGGGAAATGGGACTATTGCTGGCTCTGTTCGGCGCGAAAACGCGTCAGGATTCCATCGCGAATTTTTTGGAGAAGAAGCGCGAAGTCAAAACCGTCGAACTAGACGTCCTTCCTTACCGTCTGAGAAAGGAGCTTGGACAGTACTTTTTGTTCCCGTACCGTACTTGTTACCAGGGTGCACTTTGAGGGCGAGCAAGTATTTAATTAAGAAACCAAATATTCGGGTGGAACTTTTCGTGCAGTTGCATTCATCTACTTTTGCTTGCAAGAGAGCTGGTGGGCCACCACCTACACCTAGTTGTGGGCCATCCTATGTGTCTTCCACTAGCCAGCACATTATTGTTTAGGTAGCTATTTTGGGGGTACAAATAAGTTTTGAGGGATTTACAAAAGATGGCGTAACTAGCATTAAATCGCATCGGACCATCTTGTATCTATATTCATGTTGAAGCGTCATCATTTCCCGCTAAAAATCAGTATGTGTCATGTCGCTGAAGTGTAAACAACATACTTTCTTTGTGCTCTAACCATGTCAACCTTTGTGCCAACAAAACACAATTTGCGGGAAGCGCTGCTTTTTTGTTTTAATTTGAAGAAAAGTGCAGCCGATGGACATCGATTGCTGTGTGAAGCATATGGGGNTCGACGCTGGAAGAACAACTAACTGAATTTTTCCTTGTGGAAACAGGAAATGGAAATCAGAAAGGGAAATAATCGGATAGATTATGTACATTCTTGCCGTTTTTGAGTGAAATAGCTAGTGTCAATGAATCGACACGAACTTCTTGCATCCGATATCTTCTCTCAATCCACTTACTATTTTTTATTTTATTTTTATTTTTTAACTTCATCGATAGCAAGCGTTTGCATGAGAACACAACCCAGAGTTGTGCTTTATTTGCCATCAGAATTGCTCGGGAAATGGGACTATTGCTGGCTCTGTTCGGCGCGAAAACGCGTCAGGATTCCATCGCGAATTTTTTGGAGAAGAACGCGCTTCAGTTTTGGCAGCTTGATCTGCAGGAAGGAATGGCAGACTCTTTCCTCGAACCTGTCATGAAAAACAAGGGCATGGCATGAACAATGGTCCCACGTGAAACTCCCGCTCGTTCATAAATTATAAGAAACCAAATATTCGGGTGGAACTTTTCGTGCAGTTGCATTCATCTACTTTTGCTTGGAAGAGAGCTGGTGGGCCACCACCTACACCTAGTTGTGGGCCATCCCATGTGTCTTACCACTAGCCAGCACATTATTGTTTAGGTAGCTAGTTGGTGGTGACCCAGTAACAATATAACCCACTGCTCTCCTCTTCCACAACTAACACGAAACCCTAGAGAGGTATGACGTAAGAAGAACTACATCGTACTATGTTCAATTACTCTACCCTTCCCTATTCCCGTACACTTCTGAATTCACATACGTAACTCCAACGTGTAATAAACTCCCTTCGTCATGTATTACGATGAAAAACATCATACTTCCGCGCTTTCCTTATACCTCTTCATGAATTGCGCAGTAAAAAGAAAAAAGAGGGAAGGAACCACTTTTCCTGAATCAGGAAGGCAAGTACTTAATTGTATTTGGAGGGTGCCGGGAACATGGATACCATCTAGCGGGGATTCTTGGTACTGCATCTGTTTCACGCTATGGGGAGAGTGCCAGCTACATTATGGGAAGAGAGTTCGTGGCCTACCTCCCATACTAGGTGACAGATCAGCAACTGTATGTCCCACTTGCTACCACGCTCCTGCGTCCGGCAGAAATCGGCCAGCATGGTGCCTGGACCTATTGTAGCACATTTTCCCGAAGCGCACTTTTGCATCTAAATAGCAGTCGAACAATTGTTAGATTCGCTAGCCAATCGGTTTATTTATGCTCATTGAATAGGCGAAAGGCCAAAATAAATTTCGGATAAATAAATACTTGAGTTTTCATCCAATATTAAATTCCAGATCGGTTCCAGACTGGTTCCCAATCCAGTCAGGAATAAATCTCAAAAGATTAGGAATAATTCCTACGAATTTTATGAATCCATACCCTCTCTCACACTCGACGGCTTTTCAATGGAGCAAATAGCAACACGGTGCACTCCATCTGCGATAAGTGGCTTCGCGATCGTGCAACCCTGCACGAGCGATGGCGGCGCGCGTGTGACCTCTCGATTCTCGCTCAAGATGTCGTGCTGCACTTTCTTTTCGCGACCGACGTCGAAAAGCAGTCGCTTGCGACTGAAGGTATGGAGTTGTCTGAAATTCGGTGGAAATCTTTCAGAATAATTCGAGGTGTCTTTCCCTGTTTGACCCGGGTTGCAGATGTACTCCGTTTTCTCATCCCATTTATTTCTTACGTGATCTTATCTTAGGTGATTCAGCTATAAGGTCCTAAGGTCCAACATAATATGTTTGCAAAATTCATTTGTAAAGTTAATTATGTAATTTTCTGGGTGGATCCTTGTTTTTTTTTTCAATACTCCGATACTCTCAAGCATTCGGAGAAAGTTTCAACTTACATTAATTTTACTTTTTGAAATAACATTTATAGCATACGTGTGACCCCCCCCCCCTCCGATCCAGCTGTTTTTAAAACTAAATGCACCATGCAGAAGGCTTTCAGTCCGTATGAGGCCACAAATTCCGTACTCTGTTCGCATGGAGAGCATGCCCTTGACTGCATTGCAAGTGAGTCCCTTGTAGAGGACTGCGCGGGACGAAAAAAATGTCATTCCGTTCCGCTAGTTTTTGCATCCATTGACCTTGGATGCCAAAACGAGTCCTGTCAGGCCCCCGTCTCGTCTCCCTAGCTTTTTAGCTGCACATTTTTGTTGCCGCAAATTTTGGGTTCCGATTACAAATTTGAGCCTCTCAGCCTTCTCGAACGGTCCATCAACTAATTCAGAAGGTTTTCATAATGCATATTTTAATAATTCTCTTTTCATAATGCATTGTAAGAAACAGAGGCCAACTCAGACTATCCCTGGAAAAGAAATGTTGAAAAACTTTTTTTTCCCGTTGGTCAAGAGAGTTGAAATTTACATTTGATTGCATATAGCCGGTGACGTGTTATTATTGACAGTTTCAGTTAATTGTTTATATACGTTGACTGATCAGGATAACATTGGCTGATTAATTAGAATGGATAAATAAATTACTACTTCGATGATTAATTAGTTGCGATTAGTGAGAGCTCAAGGTGTATTACTTTATCCCTTTTTAAAATTCACATTTCATGCCAATTTTGCGCATTTATGTTCCAATTTCATACTCTTCCATACATAAAAGACTCGACACGACATAATCTGAGCTGGAAAAGGTGGCGATGGGGGTCGGGCCCTCAAAGACATTCATCAGACCCTTCGTCCTACGCCTGAGAACAATAATTTTACTCAGAAGCAGAGCGGAATCGACCTGCCGATACAAACCGAACTATAATGTGAACCAGTACCGATTTCCCTGTCACCCCATGCTGAATTACATCGAGTCTGAAGAGGGGCTGCATGGCTTGGAAAATTGAAAAATCCTCATCAAATGTTTCCTTTGTTCTTGATTCTACCGAAGAACTGCTAGGAATGAGTTTCAAATGATTTGTCCCGTCTCGGGACTTAATTAGGGGAAATGACGGTTCGTCCCGTCCCGTGCAGTGCTCTAATCCCTTTCGTCCCACGAGCACGTCTCATTCGGATTACATTCCTGGAATGGGGATCGTCTGGTCCTCATCAGATAAGAGACGGGCGGTCCTGATCCCGGGAAGTCGTGCTCAAAATTCCAAGGTCGCAACGAGGAAAGGAAGCGACACGTACAAACGCGAGTCGTCGGGCGAATCAGGCGCCATATGAAACACTGATTACCCACCATAAGGGGGGGGGGGGGTAACATATGAAAAAACTGGTAGCCCACCCTGTATTTCTGGTCAAATGAAAAATTTTTGTGAATCGAACCTGTAAAATTTATCCTAAGAGGGTGGTTATGACCCCCAAACCCACTCCCCCCATGGGCACGCCACTGGTCTCAGGTACGTTGCTTTCGCAGGAATCATTAGCGCTAATGCTACTTTCCGCTTCGTTCATACAATGAAAGGGTTTTAAGGACCTCGGACTCCTCCCCCCCCCCCCTCCCCCTTTTGTGGGGCTAGAATTATTTTCACGTTGGTTTTCCAGCATTCGGATGGGCCCCTTAAACCGTGATTTTGCTTAATCATTATTTTGGAGATGTTCGCTTTTGATTTTAGTTGTTCTGACGTGAAGCGACCCGTTCCTCCATCCCTTCAA